AAGCAGGGAAGGGGTGAGCCTCACTTCAGGGGGAAGAATGTTCCACAAGGAGGGAGCCACAGCAGAGAAGGCCTGCCTCCTGGGACCCACCAAATATAATTTCCTGGCAGATGGAACATGTAGCATGCCTTCCCTGCCAGATCTAATGGGACACGCTGATGTGATTGGGAAGAGGCGTCCCTCAGATAACCCAGCTCCATGCCATGAAGGGCTTTAAAGGTCAAAACCAGCACCTTGAATTGGACCCGGAAGCAAATCGGCAGCCAATGCAACTCGCAAAGCAGAAGTGTAATGTGTGCTCTTCTAGGAGCACACATAACTGCCCGCACTGCCACATTCTGCACCAGTTGAAGCTTCTGGATATTCTTCAAGGGTAGCCCCATGTAGACCACATTACAGTAGTCCAATCTGGAGGTAAGTAGGGCATGAGTGACTGTAGCAGAGCCTCCTGATCCAGAAAAGGGTACAACTGGTGCACAACACGGAGCTGTGCGAAGGCCCTCCTAGCCATGACTGCCACCTGCTCTTCAAGTCTAGGAGAATCCCCAAATTGTGCACTGGGTCTGTCCAGGGCAGGGCCACTCCATCCAGCACTAAAGATGGTATAGTCCCAGAACCGACAGGACCCCAAACCCAAAGCCACTCCGTCTTGCCAGGGTTCAGCCTGTTGTTCCCCATCCAGACAGCCTCCAGACGCAAAGCTTTTTTTAAAGCTTTAAGCTTGAAAGAATTTTTTAAAAAAGAGGGATTGAGTGAGGAAATGTGCATCATGTCTCATCATCAATACGTGCTGTGCCATGCACTGCCTAAGAGAAGTCTGTGGGAATTGTGCACCATTTTATTTGTAGTACTTATTGCTTACTTGCAATAACAGTGGTGGCACCAGAAGGAAGAGAGAACTGCATTTAACCAGCATTGCTGACTGCAGTATCTCTCTTTCTTACAGAGTTTTGGGGAAGAAGAAATTCATGTGAGGAAAAGCATCTCTCATTACTGAGCAGTGTTAAGTCCAGAGAGTTTTTCAAATATATTAAAATGATTAAATAAGCCTTATTTAAATAAGTAAATTATAATTGCCCAGTGTACATACATCCTGAATTATATAGAAAAGCTGATTTAAGCACCATACAACATACATCTCATTACTGAGTCTCCAATTTAGTAACATTTTCATTCATTTTGCATAGATTTCATCCGTGATTATAACAAAATACAAAGTAATGTCAGCTCAGTCCCTGTAAATAAGATAATAAGCAAAACTACAGATAAAATCTGATCAAATGTTTTACATGAGGTAAACCAATGGTTCTGAAAGTGTAGATAGTCCTGGGACTGGAGGTAGGAACGAAGGTTTAATAAGGGACAAGAATTTATGCAGGTACAAACTTCTCCACATCAGCCAAAACTTGAGGGAGGATTGAACACTTTCTCAAAGGGTTGAACATTTCCTAGCATTTCTGGGATCGCATCCTTGCTTCCTGCTCACAGTGGCAGACAGTTAACCCACTATCCATTTTTAGAGGATACATCCTCATAACACAGCTTTTATCTCATCCCCAGTTCACTATGGGGGCAACCTAAATTTGTCTCTAGCTATTCCAGTTTTCAAGTAGTGTTTTCCATCTTCTCCCAACACAGTTCTTGGCATACTAATGATCTATAATTTAATTCACAGCCGTGGCCTTGATGCGGTCTGCAGCTGGCACCTGCCAAACTCCTGTTCAGTCACTGGGGCTACCCTTTGTGACCTGCACTTTGCAATCCGCATTTCTAAAGACTGGTAGATCCATCTTCAGATTCAGGTTACCAGTGCAGGGCACTTCCACGTAAGGGACCTGTCACTCTGGCAGCTTGAAACATGGCTCAAGCTCCTGTCCCAGGAAGCCACTTACACTCACCCCAAACTGCTGTGCCACATTTTAAGGAATGGAGTGCAATTTCCCTTGCAGACTGCTGATGTGCGTGGAAGGGAAACGACGCCAGTGGAATTTACCAACAGCTGCCCTAAAATTGTCCCACAGTAAAACTGTAAAGATTGCTTGCAAGCCTTGTTACTGAAGCAAATTTGAGCTTGATTGCCAGGCAGTGCAAATTATGCTGGTGTAGTTTTCTGCTAACTCAAGGACTGGAGGAATGCACATTAACATGGCCATGAGAAAGAGCCCTGGATCTAATTATTCTGCAATACAATTTCATTCTAACCTCTTCTAGGAAGGATTGCTGCTTTGTCTTAATGTTTCCCTGCTTTGAAAGATCAGAGCAATCCTGTTCTTGCTTCCTTTCTTTTTTCTTCTAGTTGTGGATTAGCATTCAAGCTGCATGCAAGAACAATCTATGCCAGTTAAAGGGAGAACATAGGAAGTAAATGGGAGGAGGTGCCAAACTTAAAAGGATTGAGAACCATTTTATTACTGAAGGTTGTACAAGTAGTCCTTGTTTAGTGACCACAATTGGGGCTGGCAACTTGGTTGTTAAGCAAAGCAGTCACTAAGTGAAACTGCAACTGGGCTTATGATCTTCCTTCAGCTTTCCTTTGCATTACAGACCTGTGAAGGTTGTAAATGCAAGGTTTGGTCATAAAGTTACTTTTTCATTACCATTGTAACGGTGACTGGTCACTAAATGAGCAGTCACTAAACGAGGACTACCTGTAATCTATGTTCCAAGGATCTTAAATAGAGACAATTGCTCAGTGCTCAGCTAGGGAATGCCTTATTTTAGTTGCACATGTAGAAATATATCTGCATTTTGCCAAGATAGACCAGAGAGTCCCTTACAGAAATGTGTCTGACAAGCAAAAAGGCTCCATCCAGCAATTCCTCACTTTAAAAATACCAGATGATCCACTCAAAACTATTCTATACTGATAGGAGACATCTGTAAATATTCTGTATATAAATCATTTTTTCAGAAGCTAAGCCAACTCATTCGTTTTGCTGTTCTGCAATCTTTTCTGCCAAACATTTTATTAAAATAGGATCCACTTTTGAGTCAAATTTGTTGGCAAACCAATGCCCGTAGTTGAGGAGCCATCTTAATTCTGCAGCTCCATAGATGCACACACTGCGAAGATGTGCACCAGTACAGGGAGGATACAGATAGTTCTCAAGGTAGTTCCATTTTACTAAACGCGTTTTGCTCTGAAGATCTGTGATATCATGAGCTTCTCTTGAAATCTGTCCAGGTACTCCAGGTACACGAACAAGAGTTGCCCAGAAATGTTCATCAGGTGAATAAGTGTCCTTTGACCATTCCAAAAAATCTTGAACATAGGAACTGCCAAGAATATGCTGTACAAAAGCTCGACATAAAACAAAATAGGCACTGCCTACAAAAACTTCAATATTGTGTGGAGGTGGATCCTTTGAAATACTAGTTTTTGCAGGCATCTTCCTATAAGACATTTTCTGAAGTTCATAGTGATAAGTAAATCTTTCCTTTTTACTACTGCTTGGTCTGATGGTCTCCAACATATTACCTCCATTTAGTTTCTTAAGTTCATATACCAACTCAAAGTTTGATTTCAGGGGAAAGTCTTGACCACATAAATTAATTACATACTTCCATGGAACTGGAGATTTCAGTAAATCAGATAAACAATTCAAGTCTGCCTGCAGTCTTGAAATATAGGCATACTCTACCACTTCCAATTTGGATGCAACAAAAATATTAGAGAAACATTTGGCCAGATTCTCCAAAGCATGTTTGAAAGTGTTAGAAGACTTTTGATCATAATGAATACAGTAGACATTCTGAATGCTATATATTGTATGGATGAGCCGCTCAACCATTATGGCATCTTTGTGAACAACCAGAGAATAAGCTAAAGGGAATTCCTCCTCTTCTGGAGAAACAGTCTTTAGGTGATATTTTCTAATTGCTCGGTATACCTGACAGTTACTGGTCATTTCTACAACATCTTCATCTTCTAGATCAATAATCTTCTTTCTCTTTATCTGTAAAGACTTTCCAATCTCCATGGGATCTTGATCATAGATGGAGGAACAATTAATTTCATACTGGGGATTTTTTTTTAAGTGGCTGTACCTGTTTTTCACAAATGATGATGCACTTAAAAATGGTTCTACAAAGTAAATATCTTTGTGAAAGAATAAAATCCAATTAACTTTGAGAAGTTTAAGCAGCAAGAGCAGCACGACTGTTAAAAACAGTATCAAGACACGCCATCGTACTGAATTATAGAAGCACTTACGTTTCTTCATTCTGTGAAAAGAAAGAGTTAAAGACAAATTAAAGAGCATTCTATATGTTTATAAATGATACAAAAGCTGGCAAGATAGCTGTTTCTGTGATAACAAAAATGATGTGTTTCTACATTTTCTTGTATTTCTCTCATGACTGCCAGCAGGATACTGTAATGCTGTGTAAAAGTTTGTTTTCTTGATTCAAAATCTTCTACAGCCTTACCTCAGGAGTGGATCATCTATGGCCTCCTTGGCCAAATCCTTTCACTTGCTTTCTTGCCATACTTTCTCTAAGTATTGCTGATCATAACTGCCCCTTCTCCATCCCATTAAGCAGGAGAAGTGACCTCTCTCCTTCCCTATCAGAAACTGCCTCAATTGCTCCTTCAAAAGTGAAACATATCATAGCATGCCTGCACTACAGAATACAAAGTATCATAAAAATTAATTTTGGAGGTAACCCCCACCCAAAATATTAGAGGAAATAATGTCAGGTGGACAGGCAAGGAGTGTGCCATTCACCTTGTGATGAATAGTAGGATCTTGTTGATTGGCTCTAGTATGTCTGAAATGTTAAAAATAGGCATAACACCCCCAGCTTTCATTCTGTCCTGTCCAGCAATGGTGAGGGAACCTCCTGAAATCTGTCAATGGCTCTGATGTTATTGAGACAAGGAAGCAAGAAAATAACATAGTGTGAGTTGCACTTTGTAATGAACTACAATTCCCATTACTCCCAGCTATTGGCCATGCTGCTAGAGATAGTAGATTTTAGTCTAAAATGTCTGAAAGGCATTAGGTTGGGGAAGGACAGTTAAATTGCCTTCCCCTTTATCTGTGATCTGCCAGTGACAATAAACATTTTTTGTTGTTATTTTAAAAAACACAAAACTTAGAAAAAAATACATACAGTGATTGAATGTCAGTTAAATGTATCACTTTGGGCCACATCTAGGTAGTAACATGAAGGATTTTGAAAATGCATGTGAAACTATGAATGAAACTTTGATAAAAATGGCCATTTCCTGACAAAGAAGAAATGTACAGAGTAGTGTTCTTATTGTATCCACTCAACACAAAAGAAGATGCAGTTGCTATTTGTTGGAGGTTTTTCTTAATTCTATGACTTTACATAAGCTGTACGCAGGTCAGGTAACAGCATTTAGCTGATTCTGGCTGATATCAAATCCCCTAAGGAGTGTCAGACCTGGTTAGTTCTTCAGTGGGACACTATCAGGTGACACCAGGGCTGTGGGCTAGCTTGTAATGTTAAAAAAAAAAAAAAAAAAAGCATTCTGGAATAAGGCAATCGCAACTTGAGGAATGTATTACCTTTATATCAGTTGTAGTTTTGAATGATTTCAATATTATACTTTATCTAGTATTATCTAGTATCTTCCCTTTTATTTTAATGAGATGTATTGTTTCTTTGGGCTAACAGACACTTTATGAAAAAGACTTTTGAAGAATAAAATGCCCTAACATGTAGATGCTTGTAGGAACAGGAAGTTGAATAATGGCTGAGTATTACTTAATCTAAAATTGTGCTAATACATTTCCTTCATTTTCTGAAGACCTACGGCTATATATATGGGCTATTACATTTGTATAAAAGATATATTATTAACCCGTAGCCCCAATAAAGCTTTGCGTACAGCCACAGAGCCCCTACAACAATTGTAATTTTTAGTTTTTAGAAAAGGAAACTTCTTAAAGGTATGGGAAATAACCATATTAAATACGGTTACATTAATTTTCCCTAGTTTCTCATATCTGGCATATCACTCAAAGGACAATTGTAGCTTTCAACCTGAAAAATGTTACATACTGCTATTGAAAAGGTAGATTTACAACAACCTTGTCCCAATTATATTGCATTTAGAAACTACTTTATAAGGGAAAAAAAACACCATGTGCATATCGCCAGAAGGCTGCAATATTCCACCTCTAATATATTAAGTGCCTGGGCAAAGGTCAGCAGTAAAGAAACATCAAACAACTGATCAGTTCCTCTCTAATTTGTTGAAACAGATCTGAGATAGTTCTAAAACACACTGTCAGCAGAGTATACACATACATGGAAACTGGCAGTATAATGGCTTGTTCAGCAATGTCCAGAAAGAAAGTATTGTTTATTCAAAATCTGTAGAAAGCTGAGCACTTTGACCTCAGATATACTGATGAATGAATAAAGAGTAAACCAAGTTAATTTTTGACTGGCTCTGGAATAAATGTTGAATACAATCATACGTTTGCAGCAAAAACAATGCAGAATGAAGGCACCTCCTTCTTTAAAGCACATAATGTCTGGATTTAACTGTGAGACATGATATTTTAACCCTAGATATATGCAGAGACATCAGGACAGAATTCAAAGACAATGTGGTATAGTTGGATAGGAAACCTGTGGCCCTCCAGATGTTGCTGAACTACAACTCCCCTCATGCCTTACCACTGGTCACACTAGCTAGATCTGCTCTATACTTACTTCAATGCTATTTAACAACTGGACAATGAGGCAAATTTTCTCTTACACAGATGCATTTGATTTTCAGGGAAGATACTATCATTTAGAAAATTAGCTTTACTTAGAAACAACTATTTGCTACTTAAATTTTACCAAAATATACTATAAAACAGAGAGCAATTAAGAGGAATAATATGTTACATATATCTGTATGACATTTGTAGTATAGCAAGACATGCCCAACGGCTTTACCCACCCTGATCCATAAGGACAGATCTATTCCTCATAAGGGGTCCTAATACATCTTCCAACAAAGCAGATGTTAAATTGAGCCATTTTTTTTAATGCCTGCAACACACTATCATAGCAGACATGTTCATGGACCCTCAAAAGATTAGGACCCCTGCAGTGGCTCAATTCTGTCAACTTATTTACAGATAAGAGACCAGAGAGTATTGCTTTGGTAAATGTCTGTATTTAATGGGTATTAAATGAAACTCTTTCCTCTTCTGCCAAACTTTTCCTTCAAGAATAATGTCCTCATTCTTACGGGCGTATTGGTAAGGAAGTATAAAGGCTTTTTCCTTCTCCATTTTCCCCTGTCTTTTAGAAAGTTTTCTCATGTGAACAAATGGCAGAATTAGGATCATTATAGTAACCAGTGAGTCATGCTACCAACTGGTATCGTGATCACTCACATTACATAAATACAAATGTCTCTGGTAAATTTTGCCTTGTTTTGTCACAGTTCTAATTATGCTATCAACAATTACCTCAATGTTCACGCACTGTAAGAAAGCCTAAAATATTACAGGTTTTTCCTCATAGAAGTAACTTCTGGAAATGAAAAGCAACCCATGTGATACTATGTGATTAGTGTATGTGATGCATACACTACTGTCATATGTATGTGTATATGTATGTCACATATAGTGTATGTGATGCATACACTAGTGTCATATGTGATCAATCACATATCAGTTCTTTGCAACTTCCTACATCAAGATAATTATTTGAAAGAAAGAAATGCAAATATAAGAAGTGTATTGCTACAAGTTCCCTTGGAATTACAGTTTTAATGGAAGATGTTTTATCAGTATCAGATTTTACATTAATAAGCTAGTAAATTTTTGATGTTTTAACTGAAATTTGGAACTATTAATCCTTACCCTACTCCATAACTTCCTATTTAATGTACTGATTAAACTTTCAACTGCAGATCCATCAGACTAATGTAATGTAATGAATGAGATATTTTCTTGGGTTATGGCATCCTTTATGCAAAATACCTTCCCCCTCCTCCACAACACTCACCAAATGTTAAGTTTGCTGGTGTCTGGCACCATGGACAGAGGCTTTCAAGTGGTTGCCCCACTCTACTTTCTGTCACTTCTTGTAACATTTAAGCAGACTGTAAAAATTCTAATAGAAGATAATATATGTAGCTCAGGGTTGAACTGTGGAGTCCTTGGGGTTCTCTGAACTTGGTTGTTTTCTTGCAAATGTGTCATTACCTGGCTAGGTAACATCTTCAGTGCTAGAATGGAGTGGGGTTTGCTCCCTGTTTATATGCAGTAGCTTGCCCTGCCAGTGTTGGTGGGTTTTGGGTTTTTTTCTGGTAGTTCCTTGATTAGGGTATTGTTTACTGCTTAGTTGTATGTCTGCTAATAATCTTGGTGGTAACCTCTGCTTATCTGGGTGATGATTGCTGGTGAGGAAATGTTCTGGTCTTTTGTTTCATTTTTATTGTCTCTTTTGAATAGTGTGTAGATGTTGTTTATCTCTATGTGCCTTTTACTTAATTCAAGTGGCCCCTACTTGGTATGTTTTACAGATTACCATCATACAATCCTATACATGTCTATTCAAAAGTAAATCCCAATTCTATATTTATTACTCAGAGGTTACCTCCATTAAACATAGCCCTTGTTTCTTAGGAGACACGCAGAGTTTTAAGCTGTAAACTTACTTTTTTTTAAAAAAATCCATCTGTTCTTTTATATTCTCATATAAGTATGAAATGTACTGTATGATGTAAGGTGCAAATGCATCTTTACCTTATTTTTTTCTGGACAAGAGGTGCTAAATAACATTAAAGTATTTTAATCACAGTATCACTTCAACTGAATCACAAGCAAGTTTAATACATTAGCAAGAACATGCCAATTTCACTGAAGACATTATGCTTTTAATTGTCTTGCTTTTATGTATTCTAGATTCATTTGTGCTTGTTAAATCATGCTGTTTGTTGGCAACATCAGTTGGTCATGTTATTATGCTATGGTATGCATAAATCTAGAGATCTGATTTATAACATTTCTATTCCATGGTTCCATGGAAGACTACTATGATGTTAAAGACACTTTATGATGTTAAAAGCAGTTCCCTACTGTTGAGAAACACAACAGTATTGGGACCTAGGAGATACAACTAAGTTCTTCTTTTGAGGGACATTATATGATTCTAAAGTAACCATAATTATTAAGATATATTTTTGATTTATTAAGCTATGATGCAGCAATGCTCTGTGAGGTGTAGCTCATGAAAACTTATCCCTTTTTATAAAATGTGTTAGTCTGAAAAGGTGCTACCAGACTCTGGATTTTTGGCTACCATGGACTAATACAGACTACTCCAATTCTGTTCCAACTACTCCTGGTTTCTTTTCTGACATTATTAAAAGTAGAAAGCTTTGTCCGTATATTGTACCTGATTACCTAGTTTTGCAACTCATAAGAATGTTATATACATTTTGTGTTGGCCCAGTCCATCTGTGTAACAATATGTGGAAATGACCATGTGAGACAGGGCAAAGGGACGCAGGCAAGGGAATGGTCAGATAAAAGGCAATTTAGCCCACAGCAGGAAAGTGAGCAGGGCAAGCAGCTCAGAAGGGACCCTCCCTAGTTTCTTGGGCTGTAAAAGGGACTGGGAAAAAATGTACTTTCAGACTTGCATGATTCTATTAATATAACCTTAGAATAAAGTAGAATTAGCTCATCTGGCTGTGCTTCCTTGTCTGGTCTACCTTGCATGGCTAACAATCTGTGATCTAGGATAAGCAGTACAAAATTAGAAATTTCAGCTTTTTAACTGAAGGAAATTTACATCAAGCTGTGGTGATTCTGGAGGAAAAAAACTGGAAAAAATGTCCAAAAGTTCTTCCCCAAAGACAAAAATAGTGTCTTTTACTTCTTTGTTTATTAGACAGTTGAGTATCCAAACTATGAAGTGTAAATTTTAAAATTTTTAAAATTTTATTTACAAATTACAAAAAAATTGACAAAACACCTAAACACACTAAAAGAAGCCACAGAATTAACAAAACAATCTTAACTTAAAGAAAAAAATAATAGACCCCCTCCAAAAAGGAAAAGGAAAAGATTAGAAAAAAATCCCAACTAAGAAAGAAAGAAAAAGAAAAAAAAATCTACCTTATATAATACACTTATCAATACTCACTGGTTTAATAAGTGCCATACACTACTATAACATAATCAGTACAAAATATTATTATAAAATATCACAAAATCTCTGCCATAGTGGTACATATACTGTACATTAACATACTAAAAAAAGTAAAAGGTGAAATGCAAAGTATGTTTCAGCAAGTTTCAGATTCACATTTTTAGACCTATCTTTTGAAGTTTTCTTTACCTTTTCCCCCCCTTGTTTAATGTAATATAGGAAACTGTGCAGTCACCATCTGGCCTACCTGATCACAACAGCATAGTTTTTTTTACATCTTTCTGTTACTTGTATCAATTATCAGGTATCTCTGATTAACAACGTTCTATCAAATGTG